CACTAACTCAATCTTTTAATAGTCCAACAATAATCTCAATTACCCTTTTCAAACTGTTTCTAAACGCACCAAAATCTTCTTTAATAGCTATTTTGTAAGATTGATCTTTTACTAGTGCAGTAGGGTTCATCAGTAGTAAGCATGATAAAGTGATATTCTACAGCTAAAAAAATAATGAAAACAAAGGTTAGTGCTTTTAATTATGAATATTCTACATCTATAATATCTCTAATACATCTCGTACATCTCGTACATCCATATATCTCATAAATCTAATATATCTCATACATCTAATCCATCCTGTAGTAACTATTCCATAAAGGCAATCATAATCCTTGTCTCGAAAAGTTTGATTTGCTTGCTGTTCTTTTTTTTTTATTTGTTTGATACGCACTTTCAAGTTGTACAATATTCTGGAGGTAACCCATTTTAACATCAAGTAACTTAGCTCAATTATACACATAAGATCTTCCTTTCCTTTGATAGCATAATCAACAAGTCCGTATGTTTCATCACCTGAAATATCCTTTTGATATGATATATAGATATTTTCTTTGTGACTAAGTCTTCGAGTAATAGAATTTGATGCATTTAATATGGATGTAATAAATACACAACGTGTAGCTTCATTAAAATTAGTTACAGTTTCTAGATTTGTTAGTCTTAGCGTTATCTCATGCATCGTTTGAATGCTTGATCGTTCGACCTAGATTAAATTGCTTAATATTTGTAATATCCTCCCATGGACTTTGTATTTATGAAGTATTCCTTTCAGTTCATCCACGGATGGCTTTAATCAAACTTAGTCAACTTGTATCATGTAAAAGGATAGCCTCATCCAGCAAAGCCCAGAGAAAAATCCCACGGGCGCCATTTATATCTCTATCTATACATAAACCGCATCCCCCACACTTAAAAATTTTTTTCCTCCGAAATTTTGATGTATCCCATCCACAGTGACTATATGTTTTACTTGTATATTCCCCGACTACCTTAAACCTCTTTTCCAAACTCTTATGCCTTTGAAATTAGCCTCTCCCGAAATCTCCCATGAGCCCGAGAATCATTTTCCGTACAGTCCTATTGCTAATCTTGCGATGTTGTCTTCGGTGGGATTAAGCTCAATTAATATTAAAGCTCAATGATTGCTGGCCAAATTCTGGCTCAAATTCGTGCCGGCTAATTTCTGGTTAAATTCTGGCGCAATTTCATTGGTTAGCGCAATTCTGATCACGTGCTAAAGTTAATTGGCAATACAACTGATAAATTTTGATGATACAGAGATAAAATATATATTGTCTTGTAACTAAGAACCATAATAAGAATATCATAGTAGAAAATCACTTTTTTGTTATGTAAAATTAATTTGAAATTAAATAAAAATTAAGTATAAACTAATTTCTGAACTCAATTACTAAATTATATCTGGTTAAATTTCTAGCTCAAATCTAGATGAAATAATAACAATATCAAATGTGTAAACAAATAAGATGCTATTTTTTTATAACACTTATCTATGAGATTGTGGATTTGCTACTAAATTTGAACTTTAGCATAATGTATTACACATCTCATATACAGTAGGTAGTCAAAAGTCACTTGAAGTTAAAAATTTTTAAAAAATTACTAAATTTAAAATGCAAATTGTACCACTTCCAAAATTGATTTTGGATTTTTGAGGTATTCTGACTTTTTGAGATTTATGCAAAATCTATTCTATATATAGAAGTATAGATAGCATTGAAATTAGATCAAAAATATGGTATTACAGTATTATGACATTATGGCAGCCAAAAATATTTTTGGCATTACCTTTCAAAATTCAAAAATATCGAAAATAACTTAAGTTACCATTATTATTTTTGGCTGCCATAATTATTTTTGACTACCATTATTATTTTTGGCTACCATTATTATTTTCAGCTACTGTTATTATTTTAAACTGTTGAAATTATTTAAGCTGCCAAAATTATTTGATTGGTTAAAATTTATGTTATGACTATACATGTTTTCAAAATTGATTTTGAATTTTTGAGATATTTTAACTTTTTGAGATTTATACAGAATTTATTTTATATATGGAAATAAAAAAATTATTCAGTTATGTATATATTCAATCAAAGAATAAATCTAAGTGGTCAAAAAATTTTAAATTTTAAGTAAAATAATTTCATTTTCTATAAAAAACTATTTCAACTTTTTTCTCCAAAATTGTAATTTTGAAATTTCAAAATTGATTTTAGATTTTTGAGGTATTTTGACTTTTTGAGATTTATACAGAATTTATTCTATATATAGAAATAAAAAAAGTACCTAGTTATATGTATATTCAATTAAAGAATAAATCTGAATAGTCAAAAAATTTCAAATTTTAAGTAAAATAATTTTATCTTTTATGAAAAACTATTTTGACTTTTTTCTTTAAAATTGCAATTTCAAGATTCCAAAATAATTTTATATACAAGTATAGTCATGACCATTTTATTTTTATTACAATAGATAGTTGAGTTAGGTAATCTGTGATACAAAAAAAAATTTCTGTGGATCTCACAAATATCATATAATAAAAGTCTACCAAATAAATAAATAAATTTGTTTTAATACTATTTTTTATGTCTATATACTAACATCTATTTTTATTGAATTTTAACATAAATAATAGTAGGTCTTTTCATTGATTTTAGTGATTATAGTTTTTTTTCAATTTTATGATTACAAGTTTATTAAATTGGTTATTTTTATTATAGATTGGTAAGATTAAAAATAAATCAAAATTATAAGATATTTCAAAGTTTAGAAAGGTTAGCAGAAGTATTGTGATATTTATTTTATTGTTTATTTGTTTATACAAGTACTAACTACTGTTTTTTAATTATTTTTAGATCAGTTTTTATAATTAAATCAGGTGGTATAGTACCGTTTATAGATCCAGAGTCTAGATTC